ACTAAATTCTAGCATTACCAAAAAGTCCAAGTTGAAAGCCTACATTAAGACTCAAAGAGAACTTTTATCTGTGAACCCATGTAAAAACAAAACAAAGAGATTCATGTTCCCGAGATTAAATACTACAAAGTACAGCTTCCCATTCCTAAGAGAGCAATGCCTTCCCTGACGAGGTCAGTTTCCTCTGGGGAGAAAGTAATTGGTTATCATCTTTTAGTTCAGTCAGCTAGCTTATATTCTTTATTGGTACCTGTGATATATAATAATTGCATTCAGCTTAGGGGATTGATACATAGGCATTGTACCTTGACCTTCTTGATTCCCTTTCCCACCACATCATTCCTTTCCTCTTTGCATCCCACTTTCTCATCTCCATAACATTTACATGTTTTCTACTATATTCACTTTATTGTGTGCTCTGACATTTTATATTTTGACTGTCATATAACATAAGACATGTGATATTTTACCTTAGATGTTTGATTTATATCTTCTTTGGGGGGGAACAGGGATTGAACTTGGGACCTTGCACTTGAGAGGCAGGTAAGGGAACCACTGAGCTGAATCTCCAGCCCAAGAGCTAAATCCCTAGCCCCTATAACTTCTAACATTAGGGTTTCAGGAGCCTTCTATTTTGCAACAAATGACTGAAGTCTATCATTCTCTATTACTCTATTGTTTATATGGGTCACATTTCCTTTGTCCAATCATCTGTACTTTATCAAAAATGTATGCTCTTTGAAAAACTTATATCTTGTGAATTATACTTGTAAAATATGGCTGTGCATGCATAACTGTAATATGGTGAATTTTAACACTTTTCAGAAAGATACCCAGGAGTGGTATAGATGTGGCAAAGGGAATTTCTATCTTTAGATTTTTAAAGAATCTCCGTTCTTATTTCTGTACTGGTTGTATTAGTTTACATTACCATCAATAATGCGGAAGGATACATGTCTTCCCACATTCTTGCCAAAAGGTTCTTCTTTTTTTGAATCGTTGATGATAGCCACACTTGCTGGAGTAGGACAGAATCTGGTTTTTATTTACATTTTCCCAATTCCCCAAAATGCTGATTTTAATGTACTTCTCAGGCGCTTCTGCTTCTTTTGAGAAATGTCTATTCATTTTAATTATCCTTTTTTTGATTGTATGTTTTACTTTAGAGGTAGTTGTCTT